GACAGCAGCTCTTACAGGCTGACTGGCCTGAGGCCTGGTGTCCTCTACACCGTCTACATCTGGGCCATCAAGGGGAGCAAAGCCAGCAAGAAAACCTCAACACAAGCTCAGACAGGTCTCAAATCTACCATTTTCTTTCATATTGACCACTTAAAGCCATGCCTACATTTAAACTGAACTACTTAACACACTTATTTGTTGTGGGACTGTTTATTTTGTATTCTTCATATTTTATACAGTTATTTGGACAAAAAAACTCTATTTTAAAAACCAAAATAATTTTGTTTTTCACATATGGTAGACTAATCGGCTTAAGGAAGTTTCAAATGAATTCATCCGTCACTTCATCCATCTACTTGCCAGTTTCTTGTGCGTTTCACAGCGAGCAAAGCAGAGCAGACGTCCTTTTTCCTCAATAATTTCCTCCAGTTCTTCCTGAATAGTCTTGTGCCAGCTCAGAGGTGGAATCCATTATTTCCAAGTGATCTTCACACCTCTACCTGCTACTCTCGAAGAACCTCATCAGTCTCTTGTATCCAACAATGTGATCATTTCAGTTACATCTGCCAACGTTTGTGACCACAGATGAAGGAATGGCTGAAGATTGACTATTTGGCACTGGTGTCTCCCTACTAGAATACACTCATATGTTGTCTACATTGCTGCACCCAATCCCTCTTACGCTTTTGTCTTTCTCTTAAGTCCTTACTCTTGTGTAAAAACCCAATTTATCTGGACATTTTGTGAAGCTGCCTGCACATCTTTTCCAGAGAAGGACAACTTAAAGCATCAAGGGACTTCTTTCCAAGTTTGACAGCCTATTTCACTCCTGTTGCGGACCACCGTCTGTCTAAGGATGTCCCAATGACCATCACTCTACACCTTCTAACTACAGCTTTTCACAGCTGCTTGTATGATAGGGAAATGAAAAATAATCCATTGTGTGAAGAACCAATGATTGGATAGAAAAACATTTGGTTTGGAGTTGGGAATTAAAATAGTCTGGCCAGCAATACCAGGCCTTTTTAGCTAACTCAAAGGGCCAAATGTTGTGACCAATCAAAGTGTTCCTCCTTTCAACATCAGGTGCACCAGAGTCCATGATGGATACATTTATGCTTTTTTCTCTCACTATCACCATTTTCCCTGTCCTTACACTTTGGCTACCAGGTATTGCCTGAAACCTTCAACATTTCTGGATGAGCTGCAAGGTTAATTCGACCATAGGGGCTCTCATATAGAAGTTTTTTCTTAGCTCTTGCTATAACCGTGACTCCATATGCAGAACTTGGAGCTCCAACTAAACTCTTGGACCATCATCAGAATGTTCTGAGACACAATGCAGTCAAAAATGAATAAACACTGTTATGTAAGCAGAAGCATATAAGCCTCTGTGATCCAATGCTGACAAGCTTACTGCCTCTTCTTTTCTAATGTCACATCATTTGGGCAGTGAGGAAGATTTCAATCTCATATATGTAGAGGGTATCTTATTTGTTCTCCGTGTAATGACCTTCATATCACTAATGTTTGTCAGCAAATGCATGCCAGAAGATTTCATTACAATGCATCTTGTAGTTTGTATCTGTAGTATAATAACCTCCACTAACTTCTTCCTCTAGACCTGGATGCTCCTGCTAACCTCTTAGCCCGAGATGAGACAGAGTCCAGCTTCAGCGTGTCATGGGATCCAGTCCAGGCAGAAATTGATGGCTACATCCTCACCTACAGCTCCTCTGAGGGCTCTAGTGAGGAAATCCCTGTCGGGTCTGACAGCAGCTCTTACAGGCTGACTGGCCTGAGGCCTGGTGTCCTCTACACCGTCTACATCTGGGCCATCAAGGGGAGCAAAGCCAGCAGCAAGATTTCAACCAAAGCTGAGACAGGTTAATACTCTACCAATAGGCAGGATTTCTTTTGGTTACAACAAAGCCCTCCTCTCTCTTGAAATATCAATCTATCTAATAACGTGGACACATCCTGGAGTTTTTTAAATATATTTTTTATAAATACTAAAAAGCTGTGGAAGGCCCATAAACACAAATGTTAAAAAAACTGCTGTTGCTGTCGGCCAGATAAGAATGTATTGTTGGTCTGCTGCTTTTGGCCCTTAGTTTAGTGATGTTGATTCCATTTTAGCAGTAACAGGTCCCCGTCGTGCATTATGTACACATAAAGGAAAGTTGTAGCTTTCATCCCAATAGGGTGATTTGAATTTAAGAGGAAAACAGCATTACATTGGGTTATGGATTGCTGCATACTGTTTGATGTGGCATTACTGGATACACTGGTATTCACAGGGGTCAAGGGTTAGTTATCAGAGGTCAGTGAATGCATCCTGGGACATAGAATCACCTGTGGGGCTTACATCATTTGTGAGACATATACACCTAGATGAACTGCTTAATATGTCAACCCCAAAGCTAAGCTAAACTATAATAATCTACCATATTGTGTTGATGCCTGCTAAACCAAATTAACTGAACATTGCTGTATTATTTATTCAATATTGATAATGTTTTTTTGATCGATGCTACACTAAACAGCAATACATCATTTATTACCCCCTAAGAAGTTTAAGTTATTGAACTGTAGATTTCTTACAAATACCAAAACAGTTGACACTTGACACTATGAGGGGGAAAACCAAAACTCATCCTGTGGCTGGAAATGTGTCCGGGGGGCCGAGGCCAGGACACTGGGAATGTCCGGTATCTTTGAGGGGTAAAAATAGCAGTGGCCGCACATGGTGAACGGGTTACAACAACAGTATCTTTGTGTGAGCCAGATGATCTGTAAAATCACCTGGGAGCTTTAAGTGAAAGCGGCAACTTTTTCAATTAGGCAGAAAAGGGCCACGTTTTGGATTATTAACTTGTCTCATCGTAACTCATTCAGAAACGTTTTAGTGGCTACAGACCAACACCGTGCTGGGTTCAGATAGGAAAGCCATTGTGTCACAATATATCATCTGGGACCCATAAAAGCATGTGTTATTCCATATGTGATTTTATTGGACCTAGTAACAGGCACTATTAATATGTCAGTTTAGACTGTTTTAAACCAACATCTGTGTTTCACAGCATTGCTTTTAAAAAACGACGTCACCAATGGCACCCCTAAATCTGTCACTGTTCTGTTAACACCTTTTTCCCATTACAATTTCATTACATGAAAAGAATGAGAATTGGATGGTTTCTGAATATTATATTATTGTATGAGTTTTTGACCTTGACCCTGTTCTCCTTTGGGGTCCCTCCTTAGTTGATTATTTCCCTGAATTTTTGTTAACAAACTCAAGTAAAAGCAGCATCAAAGTTCAATCCAGTAAAGATGTATTAAATAAACCGTGTTCTTGTGCTGTAATCTCTCTTTTACATCAAATCCACAGACATTGATGCCCCCAAGGACCTGAAGGCAACGGATGTGTCGCTGGAGTCTGCCCTTATGACCTGGGTTCCTCCTCTCGCTGACATTGAGGGTTACATCCTCACCTACAGAGATGAGGAAGGCAACATGGAGGTAACTTAGATATATTTTATCTCTCAGAAATTGTAGACACCACTTCAAAATGTATTCACATATGTCACAACTGAGGTATCAGTGGTGTAGTGGGCGTTGGACGCGGGGGTACGCCGTACCCCCACTTATTTGAAGCATGATTTCTTTTTTTAATAGTCTAATACATTTAAAATCATGGTGTCCTGCACTGTGCGGGACTGCACACACAGCATGTTTATTATTTGTTCCGCGTCCCACACATTGAGACTATGT